CGATATGTAAATTTTGATGAATACAAATCAATTTTGCTTCATGGAAATTATGTTATTTTAACTATTATTTTTCCGTTTTAATGTTCAATACCATATCATAGATATCTATTATAGCGTTGAATTATTCGCTGATAACGTATTCGATAGAGATAAGACATTAAACAAAACAATAAAACATGAAAATAAGAGAATAATAAAGCATTTACGAAGTGATTGTAATTAGACAGCACTAACACGGAAATATAGTGACGTCTAATTCAAGGTAAAGTACTCCAAGGTAAAGCAGAAGAAAGCTCAATAGACTGTGTTGCAAAATTATATATACTCAACTCTTTGCTGACTTTTGTAGTTATCCATATTATCACTTCCTGAAATGTTGGTGCTTAGACTGTCACAGATGTCCAAGTTATTACTTCCCAGAAGTTAGTGTTGTTACCTTTTCCTTTTCTTCACTTTTATTACTTTATTAATACATATTCCCACTTTGTAATAATTAATGATATTATTGAAATGTTAAAATCAACTCGGAAGCAATGCATTCTTTTTGCCATTCTGATATTTTGCTGTCATTTATGAAATCAGAAACAATTTATAGCGATAATTTCACGCCCACTTTAAAATCTGCAAATATTTCACTTTTTAAACTATTAAACTATTTTCAAAGTGATACTAAAACGTTTCTCATATTTGAATTTTCAGTCTTTTGGACTTTAAAAAGAAATTAATTTGTGTGCAAAGTTTAATCAAAAACCTTCAGTGATATCAAATTCATCGATATAATCCATCAACTGATCTATTTTGCTATCCATTAGTTTAATTAAATTTTCCATTGCAAAATTAGGCAATATCCCATGCAACGATAGAAATAATTGTATAATCTAAGAGTGAAAGAAATTTTGCTAATGCACAATTTATTATTGATTGCAGTGATATTAATAATCAAAATAAATAATAGTTTTTACTGATAAGATAAGTTATCTGAATTGCATTTCGACTTAGTTTAGTATACGACATTGCAATAAGACTAAAACTTGTTTTTAGGTATTTTTCCTGCAATCTAAGAGTATTATTTGAAATTGAACCAAAATATTTCATCCTGTCTCTATCGATTTCTGAAGCAACTAAAGGCAATAATAAGAAATTAATTATGGACAGTATGATCGATCTCATTTTTTGATCTGAAATATTCATTGGTTAGCAGGTCATTCCTACTTGTTAATAATTAGTTTGTTCAAATATTTCCAGTGATGAATTATGAATGCTTCATTCTTAAATAGAATTACGCAAATTTTTTGAATTATGTTCAGAACAAAAGTTATGAAAAGAACAATAATAAATGACAGAGAGCATAAAATACTGAGAAAGACAAAAAAAAGTTACCAATATAAGGAGAAAACGAATCTTATCAGCAATGCTTGTGCTTATCACAAATTTTTTTAATGTATGTGACCAAAACATCACTGCTTGGCAAAAGATTAAAGGACAAATCGATTGCTTCAATTATAGAATTGAACTGTCACAGTTCTTTTGGGACATCAGTTTTGCAATCATTAAAGATTTTTAGTTTCGATAACTGAAAATATTCAGTTCATTAGTTTCCAGTGATTGCCAAAATCCCTGAAACTTTCAGCAACCGGATTCGGTATTATTTACGTTGCTATCTTTATCACTGCTATGTGATATATCCATAGCAATTTCTTTTAATCTTCCAACGTTTCTCCTTCATTTTAAAGTGCTAATTTCTGCAAGATAGCACATTTAGTCCTTCATTTTGAGTAATTAGAATTTTAAAATTTGGCATTTAGGCAAATGAATGGAAATATTTACAAAATTGTCTTTCAAATATAATAGAAAGTATTATCATTTGAAAGTTACATTAGAGATGGAGAAAATTCGAACAGTTCCGTTAAAAGAGTATCTTCAGGACGTGAATAAATCATGAATAGATTTTTCACACTGCAACGAGTTAATTCTGACGATAACAGATTGACAGAGTTCATAACATTCAGCCCAGGACTTTGGTCACTCGAGAATGACATAGTCTTGTCCGAATGACCAAGCAAAGAGCGACGAGAAGTACTGCTTCTTCATATGGAGGAGTGAAGAGTACAAAGGGGTTAGATCTCTAACCAAAGCTCATCTCCGGTTGGCTAATCGCAGTCAACGAAAGTTTTCTGCTACAGTCGAATTAGAATAAAGAAACAAAGGCTTCAAAATTGTGTTCAAATTAACTCATTCACATTGAAATATCCGAACCAATCTTACACTGAGGGTATGAACAACCCGAGTTTTCTGGGTTTAATTGCCCACGAAATGCTACGACTTAACATTGACATTGTCGTCCTTAGTGAAATCTGTCTCTCAAAGAAAATCATGCCAGCTGAACACTCTTCTGGTCAGGTAAACCAAGAATTGAACTTTCCCAGCTAGAACTGGTTTCATGATTATACCTCTCTAAATTTGTTAATTTGACAGGTGATTCAACTATTGTACTTTCAACATACGCTCATCTAAAGAGTTCCTATAGGGAAAGAACTAAGGTCTGGGATGAATACAAGGTAAGCATAATGTTGAAAACTACAATGACAACAAGCGTCTCCTGTAGGAGTTTAACACAGAGTAGCACACGATGATTCTTCACATAAATCCGGTCCGGAAATAACTGGATGCATTCTCGGTCTAAGCACCGGCATCTCGTTGAATACATTTCAGTGCACTAGTCATACCGAATGACGTCTGGTGACCTCTGTAACAGTTTTTATATCTAATCATCAATATTTTCGGTTTTAAATTTCACCAAAAATAGATGCAATATGTTTAGTGCAAAAGAACATACATAAGTTTAAAACAATCATGAAAAACATAAAACAACTACAATTAATGGAAAGATGTTGCAAAAGAGAAAATAAAAATAATTTAATTCATAAATAACAAAAAAAAATGGAGTTGACTAAAAAGCGCGCAGAAGCAAAAAGACCAAAAATGTCACACATTGAACAGAAATAATAAAAAAAAAAAAACGCGAGCTATGAGGAAAGATTGGACATTAGCAAGGCGACATGTTTTAAAATAAATTAAAAAAGATTGAAAAAGTGAAATGAAGTAATATTTAGAAAAAAACTTCCACAAATCAAAATTTAATCAACAAGAAGCATAAAGTAAGTGAGCTTTATAAAAACTATAAAAAAGATATTTTGCAAAATGACAAATATAATAAACAAATGTAAAATGGCATGAAAAAAAAATTTTTTTTTTCGAGGAATAAAGTTCAATGATAAAAAGAAACTTAGCAGTACAAAAAAAAAGAGTGAAAAGAAAAAACGAAAAGTAGATAATAAAATTGGAACGGATTTCGTAGACTATTTTGCTACTAATAGACCATGGCATATGGATATAAACAGTAAGAAAAAGTATTTCATAGTTCTCAATATGAATGTTTAAAGTAATGATAGCTTTTCTTGGGTCATTCTATTAACTTTAAGATGCCCAGGATAAGTTTGTCGAATTCTCAATTAGAACCTATTTAAGCAACTAGCATAATAATCAAGACGTCCAATCATTTCCTTTGATGATCCGTAGTTTGACTTATTATTTTCGTGGATAAGCTCATTCCCGTTGGGTTAGATAAATTTATTTATTTCATTGAGAAGTTTTCGAATCTTTGACTTTGGTATTTCGGCTCCTTACAACAAAGTGTCAGACGTACCTCACTTCGGACACCAATAATTTTTTTGTGAAATTTGGGCTTCTGACTTTCTAACTTTTGTAGCTTACATTGGTTCATCAGATTTAAACGAATAGGTTTAAAGAAGTAATCAGCACCAATAAGATAGTCAACTGTTTTCAATAACTCGCTGAATCTCTGAATTGATTCTCAATTGATGTCTGAACCATTCATTATTGCGTAGGTAATAGATGGATGTTAGGATTATTACATAGTATCAAATTATATCTTAAAAGATTAAAGACTGACTGTAGACTGTGTGGTTCGAACAGATCTTTAGATGATAGATTATTGATCATAATGACATTCTTAGAGTATTCCATCAATGCAATAGGATTCATTGAAGTTTAAAAGTGTTTGGTATTATTCATGGCACAAATTAGAATGAACAATTGTTGGTCATTAGCATGTACACTTCTATCTTATAGAATTAAACTAACTGTTTTCATATATTGAAATCGCTTTTGTTTTTCCTTTAGTTTCTGTTTGCCATTTAAGTTACGCAGAGTTACTGAAGATGAATATGAATATTAGATATATACGATTTTTATATCTTTAAAAGAAATTACTTCTAACTATTCCTTACTATTTTATTAATTTGTAGTGCTATTTTAGGTCTGTTATAGAAACAAAGCAGCTTTTGCACTGCTTAATGCTGAAAATAATTAATTGAAGATTTTCTTGTTTTTAGGATTAAACCGGTTTTTAGTTGGTTTACTCATAGTCAAAGTTTCTCATCAATTATATAAGCTCGAGATACTGTGATATTAGATAAAATTATTGTGCTGAAATTGCTGAACCAAAAATGATATTAAGCAAACAAATTAAATTGTACAAACGATATCTTTGCAGTTATATAATAAAACTGTCAGTTAATGTTAATTGTCGCATCAAAGTTTATTGCTTAGCTCCAATAGCATAAACTTAAATTTAAAGTAGAAAAGCACACTGAAAAATCACATTTAAAAAGTAATTTTGCTTTTATCAAAATTTTCGCATCGAAAAAAACTCCATATTTTTACAGATTGCTTATTTTTTCCATTGTAAATTATAGTTTCTGTTACAGAAACATTAATTATTGTTTAGATCAGTGTGATACTATGTTAGGAATTAGTGAAACAGGAAATTATTGATTAAGTTCATATGAATATTTTGAAAAAGAAATTATAAATTGCGGCGTGTTGACATGTTGATTTAGAGAAAATGAAAACAGAATCAGATTCTCACAAGAAAAGGAAATCATTTATTGTAGATGCTGTAGTTGTTTGAGAAATGATTATTTCTGGAACTGAAGCAAATAATCCAATTGTTGTTTTAAATTTTTGAGAAGAGTCTGTTTGCTTTTCAGAAGTTCTTCAAAGATGGACTGTTGTTTTTGGAGAAGCTGCTGAAATGAAGACTGCCTCTGCTGGAGTTGTTGGAGGAGTTGTTGTTGTTGTTGCATAAGTTGTTGGAATTGGACTTCTAGTTGCTGAAGTTGTTGAAGGAGATTATGTATTTGCTGAGGTTCTAGAAGTATTTGCACAACAAGTTGTTCTTGTTGCTCCATAAGCTCCACAAGTTGTTGTTGTTGTTGGAGGAACTGCTGAATAAGTGGTTGTTGCTGTTTGTATTGTTCAAGAAGTTGTTGTTGTAGCTGTAGAAGTTGCTTAAGAAATGATAGATATAACTGAGAAGACTGTTGTTTTAGTAGTAGAAGCTGCTGGAATAGCTTCACTTGATGTTGAAATTGCTGGGAAAGTAGTTGCCTCTCTTGCTGAAGTTGCTTTAATACAGTATGGTGTTGCTGGAGCAGTTGAAGATGTTGTTCGTGCTTCTGAATTTGATTACTAAGATTATTTTGATCTTGATTTCGAGATTGCTCGTGATTTTGTTGCATTTGTTTTTGAAGGTCAAGCGCTTGTTGATGCACAGTCGATGGCTGCATTGTTTGTTTTAGAGAATTCAGTTGCTGCTGCAAAAATTGTTGAAGAATAGGTTGTTGTTTTTGAAATAATTGTTGTTGATGAGGCAATTGTTGTAGTAGAGATTCGAGAGTCTGTTGTCGCTGAAGAAGTTGCTGAAAAATAACTCCTTGTTGGTGCTGAAGTTGATCCAGAAATGGTTGTTGTTTTTGAAGTAGTTGAAGGATACTATGCTGTTTATGAAGAAGTTGTTGTTTAATTTCACAGCTATAATTCTGTCCAAGTTCCTTACGAAGTTGCTGTTGCCGTTGAAGACGATCAGGAAAGTGTGAATGGTTTTTTTGTAGTTGTTCGAGTAGCTGTTGAAGTTGTTGGTGAGGAGCAGGGTTTTGTTTTTTTAGAAGTTCCTGGAGAAGAGACTTTTCTTTTTCTATTTGTTCGACAAGTTGCTTTTGTGTGAGAAGTAGTTGAGGAGGGGATTTTTTCTCATTTTCGGTTAACAATGCCGTCATTGTTGTTGAAGAAGAAACTGCTACTATTATCTGAGCTAATGTGAAAAAGGTTGTTGTTACTACCGTAATTCCTGGAGTTGTTGCCTAAAAAAACTAGAAAATAAAAATTACAAAATTTGTGATAGTGAAAATGTTAATTTACAGAAACTCACAAAAATGCAGTTTGATCTCCTGTGGAAGGATTGAAACTAGAGCCTATCTCAGTGGAAAAAGATCATAAAGAAATATTTCATTCAAAAAAATCATTCTTATTCAGATGTGAGTTTACTAGAAGTTTTACTGATTGAATCAAGCTATTTCAAGAAATTACTATTCTACTGAAGACATAGAGTGATATCAAATTGAAAAAATTTTAATACCTTTGTGCAAGATGAAAAAGCAATGATAAAAAGGAAAATAATTTCTTTCTTCATTTTCACCATCTCGATTAATCAAATTTGAACTAAAAAAAGGAAATGGACTTTGAATCAAAACAGTAAAAACTTGCATCTTTGATGTTTTCAACTGAGTGTAGCAATTTTAAACATTGACTAACAATCATTCAAATCAACAATACTAGTGTACTATATGGATTACCAAGCATCAAGCAATTTATGATTCGAGAAATCTCGGTCAAATTCTTTTCTTTCTTTCCATGGCAGTGAAATCCTCCCTCCAGAATCACATAATATTTCTAAAAAGGTTTCATTCTACAAAAGAACCTTCTCCTTATGCAACCTTTGAAGAAGCATTAAGTTTTCTAACTTTTGTCCAGTTGGAAAGCCCTGGAATTGTTGTCACACTGAACAGTTTGAGTTGTGCTGCAAAATTTAAAGACATTTATGTGTTACTTGTTTCATTCTGCTTCTACAGAATTTTCCAGTTGAAATGGATTCAATTGAATTGAATTGAAAGCATTGTGTTCCGAAATTATATTTCTCATCCAAAACTTGGGGACAACATGCATTGCTGTGAGAAAATTCACCATATTATTGTTCTATCTGTTTAGATAGAAGAATTTTGTTACAATAAAATAAATTAAAAGAATGGGTTGTTTTCTTATTTTGTTATATTACAAACTTTTCTGATACTGAAAAACGGTTTTTGTCTTTACTCAATGCTTCTGCCTCTTTCTTTACTTTAAAGGTATTACCAAAAACGATTAAACGGGTCGCCCATCAATTTTGGCATATCGGTGACAGACTGTTAAAGGTGGAATAAGGTTGCTAATTTTGAAATAGTGTTGCACATACACATTACATTAGCATTACATAGGTGTTTGCATACTTGCATGCAGTTGAATATTTAAAATTTATTATGGGCAGTTGGGATTTATCAAAGTGTGCGTAAGTCACTAATAATTTGGAAATGAAATGGGCGATGTGCTCTACACAAATTGAAAGTTTGAAATCAGTTCTGAACTTTTTCATTTCTTAATGTACTGTCATTTGAAACATCTTTTTCCGATTCATTTGCTGCAACGACCGATACTTACTACTTGCTGAACCATTCCACTGGTTAATATGTTGATAGAGAGGAGATGAATTACTTATTGACTTAATTACTTTGATTCTCTAAATTAATGCTCGTGCATGCTTAATTATTAAATCTAACAAATGATTTTAGTTCTTCAAGCAGCTTATGACATTATAGTTAAGGTAAGCAATTTCCTCTTTATCCAAGCAATTTTTTAAGAGAAATTCTGAAGAATTCTTTGCGACACTAAATGAATCCCCTATTAGCTGGTGATTGCTTAACTTTTTAATGATAAAAAGGAAAGAAATTAATGGTCAGTTCATTTTAATGTAAAAAAAAAAAAAAAAAAAAAAAAAAACACCAGATAAATTATTTGGCTTGCTTCAGTTTGTTTAAATGAAAAATGACTTTAATTAAAAATTTCCTAATGAAAAATTTTTGTATAAATCCAACAAACAACCATTTCGTCATTATTTATAGTTTGTTTTAATTCAAATTTCTTTTTCGAATGATGGCAAAAAGCAGGTAGCTTGATTGAACTAATTTTCATCAAATGAAAGTAATTTTTTGCACTGAAGAATAATAAGTTTCCGAGTCATTATTTGGTGTTTAATTAATTAATCAGTGATGACGACAGATGACATTTCCTAAATTTTCGATGATATTTTTTGCTAAATTAAGCTATCAATTGTCGCTTATAATTTACCAATTCTCACCTTTTTTTTTCTTTTAAATGAAAAAAAATTTAATTTTTGACAAGCAGAATTTTTTTTTTTTAATTCTTCTCCATCAAAGCTGCGAAATATGACCAAAGTAAAAAATCAGATGGAGATATAAACAAAATTCAATCGCCGATGGAGCAAATCCTCTATTAATAGTGCATTCCGGAAAATATTTATTAAATTAGACCCTCAACTTGTTATTATCAAAATTTCTATTATTATGCCACTGCTTGAACTACTATTATTACTATTTTTATTTTGTAACATCGGAAACGTAAAATAAAATTATTTCAGTAAATTGTGAGGTTTTGTATAAAAATGATTTCATACATATATAAAATTATGAAAAGAATGAAAAGCAGAAAAAGTAACAATAATAAATGAAATAGAAAGTAGAAAAACGGAATTTTTTTAAAATAGAGCTTGAAGAAAAAGTAATAATTTTTAACTTTGTATAAAATAATTTTATTTATTCTATTTATAGCAATGCTTCAATTATTCATTCTCTGATGTTATACGTACAAAATTCACATACATTTCATATTTTTGACCAACTGTAATGACAAGAAGCTATGAATGAATTATAGCACTAGATGTTGTTTTTATATGAAAACAATTTTTGATCAGCAATACGATTTGTGCTCAGAAATTAAATGCCAATAAGATGTTGAAATTTTAAATTCAAAAAATTTTAGTACCAAAACGTATAAGTTAATTTCAAAGGAAAAGTAAAGTAGAGAAGAGCAATGAGTTAAATCAACAAAGCAGAGCGAGAGTTAAATGAAATTCAATAACATAAATTCTCTTATCATTATGTTATCATATCGTAAAGTTGAAATGATCAGTGAATAGTTTAAAAAAAGATATCCGCATTATACCAGTGAAAAATACCGCTACTCCAACAATCGTTTTACCACCGATCCATGCACCTTTCAGAGAAATTCAACAAACCATTATTCATTGCTTACAGTCGTTCTTTCCGAATGAATAATAATGGAGAATATTCCGGATATTAACCTGTAGAATTTTCGCTGCTAATTAAGAAAAATTTTTCAAAAAAGCACCGACAAACTCAAATTCCACGCAATTGGCGATGCCAAACGACAATTTAGCGAAGGACTTGTTGTTGAGCTTACTAATACCCAATTATCACTAATAACAGCCAATTTAAATGCTCAGCTTATTTTTTTTTTTGAAATGTATGGCCATTTTTCTAAATATTCGTAACAAGTCTAAACTAAAATGATTAGTTTACAGTCAGAGGTGTTGCCAGTTTCTTTCTGATAGTAACAAAGATAGAAGGCTGTTTTTGCTTCTTTTGTTCTTCCCTTAATATCTCAAATGCAGGTAATTAAACCTTCATTTATGAAATGTTTGTTGCAACAACGAATCCAGGAATTTCAAAAATAATTTTAATAACGATACCAGTATTATCACCCAAAACTTAAATAAAGGAAAAATGAAGTATTCTCAACTTTTATATCGATATTTTTGTTTTTAATATTTATGTTTAACTAACGTTTTAATTATGGATATAAGCCAATTATTTTTTTTTCTTTTTTTGTTCTTTGCTGCAGTAGTTAAAGCAAAATTACATTTGAATGTGATTTTCAGTGTGTTGTTTTACTTTCAATTTAAGTTTATGCTATTGGAGCTAAGCAATAAACTTTGATACCACAATTAACAATAACTGACAGTTTTATTCTACAACTGCAAAGATATCATTTGTACAATTTAATTTGTTTATTTAATATCATTTTTGGTTCAGCAATTTCAGCACAATAATTTTATGCAATATCACAGTATCTCGAGCTGATATAATTGATGAGAAACTTTGACTATGAGCAAACCAACTAAAAATCGGTTTGATCCTAACAATATGAATATTGGAAATATACTAAGTAGTTTGATCATAAAAGCAAAAAAGAGAGTTTTTTGTTTATTACTCTTTAGTTAATCATTTTCAGCATCAAATAATGCAAAAGTTATTAAATAGTACAATAAATTAATAAATTAGCAAGGAATAGTTGGAACCTTTAAAGAATTTCTTTTAAAATCATATATATTGAGTATTCATATTCATCTTTAATAACTCTGCGTAACTTAGATGGCAAATAAATACTAAAGGAAAAACAAAAGCGATTTCAAACAATTAGTTTAATTCTATAAGATAGAAGTGTACATGCTAATGACCAACAATTGTTCATTCTAATTTGTGCCATGAATAATACCAAACACTTTTAAACTTCAATGAATCCTAATGCATTGATGGAATACTCTAAGAATGACCATATTATTCTTATAGAGAGACTACTTCTAGGAATACTTCTCTATACGTAATATTATTCCTACCAATAATCTATGTATGTCTTTGCTAAAGTATCAAATAAAACTCGCAGGTGGTTTTCTGATGGGCTTATCACAGTCTAATGCAGATTCTTTCTTCATCTTTTCAATAACTTCATCTTGAAATAAATCATTCAAATATTCATCGTAATCAGTTAGACTTATTTTCACTGTCGTTTCAACCTTTCTTGAGTTAAGCTATATCGTTTTGCTGACACGGGACAACATCTTTATTTTTCTAAGACCAACTTACGACTTTTTCATCTTTAGTTATAGTATAAACTTTTGAAAAGCATTCAGTACTTCTCTCTGTCTTGTCATCAATTCTTCGATTGCAATAATCTCTAGTTTACACTTTTCTTTTTATTAGTTCACTGAGTTATCATGATTCTCTTCATTCTCCTAATCTTTCTTTCGGACTTCGTTATTTTACTGATTGCCATTTTCATCTTAACCCATTTCCATCTCCTCTAACCTTATTCTACCAATATAATCAATTCTGTAGTATATGTTTGAGTATTCTTTATAGTTCCCGATGATGTTCTAGTTCCTAATGTTACTAACAATACCTGTAATCTTTACTTAATTACTAGATTTCTCTAACAACAGACCTAATTTGTTGGCCATTATTTCAGTGACCAATTTGCAATCGCTTCTCATATCCAAAATCATTAATGTCCTCTCGAATTTTCCTCGTTCGCATGGAATAACTAACAACGTTTCTTCATGTTTTGTCTTCCTAACCAGTAATTATTTCCAACTCTTCCTTGCTAATTTATTAATTTATTGTACTATTTAATAACTTCTGCATTATTTAATGATGAAAATGATTAAAGTATTAAACAAAAAACACTCATTTCTTGCTTTTATGACCGAACTACTTAGTTTTCAATATTTTCATATTTTTGAGATTAAACTGAATATATTATTAGGATTAAACCGATTTTTAGTTGGTTTACTCATAGTCAAAGTTTCTCATCAATTATATCAGCTCGAGATACTGTGATATTACATAAAATTATTGTGCTGAAATTGCTGAACCAAAAATGATATTAAATAAACAAATTAAATTGTACAAATGATATCTTTGCAGTTTAGAATAAAACTGCCAATTATTGTTAATTTTGGCATCAAAGTTTATTGCTTAGCTCCAATAGCATAAACTGAAGTTATAAGTAAAACAACACACATAAAAGTCATATTGAAATGTAATTTTTATTCATTAAAATTTACATATCGAAAAATTTTTCGCGCGGATATTTTTCATACTTTTGTAATTTACATAGTAGTTCCACAAGTTACTTCTTTTTCCACTGTAAAATATAATTTTTGCTACAAAGAAGTTGGTAGTTGTTTAGATTAGTTCAATACTTTGATTCGAAATTAATGAAGCAGGAAATCACTGAACAATTTTATGTGGAAATTTTGAAAAATAAATTGTAAATTGCAACGTGTTGATTTAGAGAAAATAAAAAAATAAAACAGATATCCCATAAGAAAACGAAATCACTTATTTTTGATACTGTGATTGTTTGAGAAATGATTATTTCTCGTGTTGTTTTAAAATTTTGAGAAGAGAATCCAATTGTTGTTTGCTTTTCAGAAGTTCTTCAACGACAGGCTGTTGTCTTTGGAGAAGTTGCTGAAGTGAAGGCTGCTTCTGCTGTAGTTGTTGGAGAAGTTCTTGTTGTTGTTGCATAAGTTGTTGGAATTTGACTTCTAGCTGGCGAAGTTGTTCAAGGAGATTAGAAATTTGCTGAGGTTCTAAAAGTATTTGCACAACAAGTTGTTCTTGTTGCTCCATAAGCTTCACAAGTTGTTGTTGTTGTTGGAGGAACTGCTGAATGAGTGGTTGTTGCTGTTGGTAATGTTCAAGAAGTTGTTGTTGTAACAGTAGAAATTGTTGAAGAAGAGATTGTTGTTTTTGAAGTTTCTGATCAGAAGGCGGCTGCAGTAGAAGCTGAAGTAGTTGCACTAGATGTTGAAATTGTTGAGTAAGTTGTTGTCCCTGTTGTCGAAGTTTTGCAGATAAATCACCGTGTTGCTGAAGCAGTTGAAGACGTTGGTCAAGCCTTTGAATTTGTTGATTATAATCATTTTGATCTTGATTTCGAGATTGCTCGTGATTTTGTTCCATTTGTTTTTGAAGGTTAAGCGCTTGTTGAACCAAAGTCGATGGCTGCAGTGTTTGTTTTGGAGCACGCAATTGCTGCAGCAATAATTGTTGAAGAATAGGCTTTTGTTCTTCGAGTAATTTTTGCTGATCAGGTAGTTGTTACAGTAAAGATTGGACAGTTTGTTGTCGTTGAAGAAGTTTCTGAAGAATAACACGCTGCTGGTGTTGAAGTTGGTTCAGAAATGGTTGATGATATTGAAGTTGTTGAAGGATAATCTGCTGTTTATGAAGAAGTTGTTGTATATTTTCACAGCCATACTGATGTTCAAGTTTCTTACTAAATTCCTGCTGCCGTTGAAGACGCTCCTCAAAGTGCGAATGGTTTTGTTGTAGTTGTTCGAGTAGCTGTTGAAGTTGTTGGTGAGGTGCAGGGTTTTGTTTTTTTAGAAGTTCCTGGAGAAGAGACTGTTCATTTTCTATTTGTTCGACAAGTTGCTTTTGTGTGAGAAGTAGTTGAGAAGGTGATTTTTTCTTATTTTCGGTTGACAATGCTGTCATTGTTGTTGAAGAAGAAACTGTTCTTGCTGCTACTGTCTGAGTTAATGTGAAAAAGGTTGTTACTACCGTAATTCCTGGAATTGTTGCCTAAAAAAAAACTAGAAAATAGAAATTACAAAATTAGTGAAAGTGAAAATATTGATTTATAGAAACTCACAAAAAGATACCTTAATCTTCTATGGAACGCATGAAACTAGAGCCTATTTCAGCGGAAACAGATTGTTTCCCAAAAAATTGAAATAAATTTAATACCTTTGTACAGGATGAAAAAGCAATGATAAGAAGGAAAATGATTTCTTTCTTCATTTTCACCATCTCGATTAATCAAATTTGAACTAAAAGAAAGTAATGGACTGTGAATCAAAACAGTAAATGCTTGCATTTTTAAAGTTTTCAATTGAGTATAGAATTTTAAGCACTAATTAACAATCATTCGAATCAACAATACTAGTATAATACTTGGACTAGCCAAGTACCAAGAAATTTATGATTCGAGAAATCTCGGTCAAATTCTTTTCTTACTTTCCATGGCAGTGAAATCCTCCCTCCAGAATCGCATAATATTTCTAAAAGGGTTTCATTTTGCAAAAGAACCTTCTCCTTATGCAACCTTTGAGAAACTATGAAGAAGCATTAAGTTTTCTAATTTTTGCCCATAGGAAAGCCCTGGATTTCACTGCATTGTCACACTGAAAATTTGAGTTGTGCTGCAAAATTTAAAGACATTTATATGCTATTTGTTTCATTCTGCTTTTGCAGAATTTTCCAGTTGAAATTAGTTGAATTGAATTGAAGGCTTTGTGTCCCAAAATTGCATTTCTCATCCAAAACTTGGGGACAGCATGCATTGCTGTGAGAAAATTCACCGTATTATTGTTCTATCTGTTTAGATAGATGAATTTTGTTGCAATAAAATAAATTAGAAGAATGTTTGATATAAAATGATCAAAAGATAAAAGAGTTTTACTTTTGTGAAAAAAATTAGCATCATAAATCCAGAAGTTCCGAAAATTGAAGCGAAAAATTAGCACCATGATTCGATATAGGATGATCACACATAACTGTTTCAACGAATATTCATCTCAACAACCCTGATTAATCGACTAAAACTTCAAGAAGCAGAAAATGTTGGAAATTGAGTACCTCATTTCGTACCTAAAAACTTAAAATGCTATGCGATTAAAGTGGGTGCTGGTAATAAGGAAATCTCACATGCGAAATTAACTTTACTTAAATATATGAACGACAAAAGTATTACATTTAGAGAGAATATAGAGAATATTATTTTAATGACAAAAGTAAAAGAGTGATTATTGGTGATCGCTTGAAATATTATTGATACTTTGATCTCATCAAATACTTTTGGAAAATTCCTTTGTTCTACTTATTGTGAAATCGTTCATAGGCTGAATAAACATTCATGTATATCGACTGAATAAACATTCGACGGGGATTTTGATGCTTTGCATGTTTTGCTATTTTCTAACTTTTATATCGATATTTTTATCTATAATATTTAAATTTTAATTAAGTTTTAATTAAAGCTATAAGGCAATTATTTAAACGTATTCTTATTTACCTAAAATTTTTCCTTAGTATTTATATTTCAGTGCCATGGCATATTAGTGGCAAAATAGTCTATGGAATCCATTTATTATCTACTTTTTGTTTTTTCTTTTTACTTTTTTTTTTGTACACTACTAATATAATTCTTGTTTACAACTCAATTCTTGTTTACAACTTTTTTTCTTTTTATCAGTGACCTTTATTCCTGGAAAAATTCTTTTTTCCATGCCATTTTACATTTGTTTATTATATTTGTCATTTTGCAAAATCTTTTTTTTATGTTTTTTATAAAGCTCACTTATTTCATGTTTCTTGTTGATTAAATTTTAATTCATTTTAAAACATGTCTCTTCGCTGATGTTCAATTTTTTCTCATGACCCATGTTTCTTATTACTTCTTTCCAAGTGTGACATTTTTATATAACCAAATTTCAAAAAAAAAAAAACCAAAATTGAACAACGACACTATAACTGCGTACTCCAAAGCACGATTAATGTTAACAAACATAAAATTAGTAAAAATATTATTGATCCTTGCTTCCATTTCCAATTATTTGCAACTACTCGTTGCTACTTGTAAATATTTGTAGTTGGAACCACTTGCAACCACAGTAAAAATTTACAGCACCTGCTTATTAACCTTTCCGTATCATTTGTTTTCCTTTCTTTTGGAACCACCTGTTCCTCCAACCACTTGTAACCATCTGCTACCGTAACCACTTTTTACTTTAACCACTTGCAACCGCTTTCTACGACCAACTTACGACGACACATCTTTAGTTATAGTATAAACCTTTGAAAGCATTCAGTACTTCTCTCTGTCTTGTCATCAATTCTTCGATTCCAATAATCTCTAGTTTACACTTTTCTTTTTATTAGTTCACTGAGTTATCATGATTCTCTTCATTCTCCCAATCTTTCTTTCGGACTTCGTTATTTTACTGATTGCCATTTTCATCTTGAAAATTCATTCACAGCTTCTTGTCATTGACAGTTGGCCAAAAATGTGAAAGGTATAATTATGGTGAAAAGCAGGAAAGGATGCCTTCAATAATAACAACTGATAAAATCATTAATGTTCAAAAATCTCGAAATGAAAGTAAAACTATAAAATGTGCAGAAAAATTACACAAAACAACGAATCATTCAAAGTAATCATTGATTTTAATTAAATTAATTCCACTTATCAATTCTTTATATTAATTACGAGTTTATTTCCATATGAAATCATTTCTCTGCCTAATCCATTTTATCTGTTCATCAAATTTCTACTTTTTAACTATATTTGTAGTTAATTAGAATTAAAATAATGATAAAATCTTCACTGTCAAGTCATTTATTTTTGCCAATGAAAATTGCTCAAACTTTTTACACTTTTGCTCCATCGGCGATTTAATTTTGTTTATATCTCCATCTGATTTTTTATTTTGGTCATATTTCGTATAATTAAATTTTTTCATTTAAAAGAAAAAAAAAGGTGAAGATTGGTAAATTAAAAATAAACGACAACTGATAACAGAATTTAGCAAAGAATAGTCAATGAAAAGTTAACAAATGTTATGCATCGTTATCACTAATTAATTAATTTGAATCAATCCATATCAGATAATAACTCGGAAACTTATTATTCTTCAGTGCAAAAAGTTACTTTCATTTGATGAAAATTAGTTCAATCAAGCTACCTTCTTTTTGCCATCATTCGAAAAAGAAAATTGAATTAAAACAAACTATATGGTTGTTTGTTGGATTTATACGAAAATTTTTCATCAGGAAATTTTTAATTAAAATCATTTTTCATTTAAACAAACTGAAGCAAGCCAAATAATTTATCTGGTGTTTTTTTTTTTTTTTTTTTTTTTTTTTTACATTCAAATGAACTGACCATTAATTTCTTTCCTTTTTATCATTAAAAAGTTAAGCAATCACCAGCTAATAGGGGATTCATTTAGTGTCGCAAAGAATTCTTCAGAATTTCTCTTAAAAAATTGCTTGGATAAAGAGGAAATTGCTTACCATAACTATAATGTCATAAGCTGCTTGAAGAACTAAAATCATTTGTTAGATTTAATAATTAAGCATGCACGAGCATTAATTTAGAGGATCTAAGTAATTAAGTCAATAAGTAATTCATCTCCTCTCTATCAACATATTAATCAGTGGAATGGTTCAGCAAGTAGTAAGTATCGGTCGTTGCAGCAAATGAATCGGAAAAAGATGTTTCAAATGACAGTACATTAAGAAATGAAAAAGTTCAGAACTGATTTCAAACTTTCAATTTGTGTAGAGCACATCGCCCATTTCATTTCCAAATTATTAGTGACTTACGCACAGTTTGATAAATCCCAACTGCCCATAATAAATTTTAAATATTCAACTGCATGCAAGTATGCAAACACCTATGTAATGCTAATGTAATGTGTATGTGCAACACTATTTCAAAATTAGCAACCTTATTCCACCTTTAACAGTCGGTCGCTGAAGTGCCAAAATTGGTGAGCGACCCGTCTAATCTTTAAAGAAAAGAAAGAGGCAGAAGCATTGAGTAAGGACAAAAACCGTTTTTCAATATCAGAAAAGTTTGTATTATAACAAATTAAGAAATCAAACCATTCTTTTAATTCATTTTATTGTAACAAAATTCATCCATTTAAATAGAAAGATTTGTTATAATACATTTGTTATATACATATATATTTCAAAGCAATGCATGTTGTCCCCAAGTTTTGGATGAGAAATACAATTTCGGAACACAATGCTTTCAATTCAATTCAATTGAACCCATTTCAACTGGAAAATTCTGTAGAAGCAGAATGAAACAAGTAACACATAAATGTCTTTAAATTTTGCAGCACAACTCAAACTGTTCAGTATGGCAACAATTCCAGGGCTTTCCTGCTGGGCAAAAGTTAAATACTTAATGCTTCTTCATAGTTTCTCAAAGGTTTCTTAAAGGAGAAGGTTCTTTTATAAATCAAAACCCTTTTAGAAATATTATGCAATTCTAGAGGGAGGATTTCACTGCCATGGAAATTAGGGAAAGAATTTGACCGAGATTTCTCGAATCATAAACTGCTTGGTGCTTGCTAATCCAAGTAGTATACTAGTATTGTTGATTTGAATGATTGTTAATTAGTGCTTAAAATTCTATACTCAATTGAAAACTTTAAAAATGCATGCATTTACTGTTTTGATTCAAAGTCCATTACTTTCTTTTAGTTCAAATTTGATTAATCGAGATGATGAAAATGAAGAAAGGAATCATTTTCCTTCTTATCATTGCTTTTTCATCTTGTACAAAGGTATTAAATTTGTTTCAATTTTTTGAAAAACAATCTGAAATAGGCTCTGGTTTCACGTTCCGTAGGAGATCAAACTGCCTTTTTGTGAGCTTCTTTAAATGAGCATTTCCACTTTCACAAATTTTGTAATTTTTATTTTCTATTTTTTTTAGGCGACAACTCCAGGAATTACGGTGGTAACAATAGCCTTTTTCACATTAGCTCAGACAATAACAGCAAGAACAGTTTCTTTTTCAACAACAATGACAGCATTGTCAACCGAAAATAAGGAAAAATCTCAACTGCTTGTCCAACAAATAGAAAAAAAACAGTCTCTTCTCCAAGAACTGGAACAACAAAACCCTGTGCCTCACCAACTTCAACTTCAACAGCTACTCGAACAACTACAACAAAACCACTCGCACATTCAAAATCGTCTTCAACAGCAAGAGAATCTTCGTCAGCAACTTC